AACATTCAAGAATCAACAAGTGCGATTCAATCACTATGGATGAACTGTACACTTTTCAAGCATTGCTTATACTGATGGGGATCGTAAAAAAGCCAGAAATTAAGATGTATTGGTGTAAAGATCCTATGCTTGAAACGCCATTTTTCTCAAAGTGTATGACACTTGTACGATTTCAGAATATACTTGCGATGATGCATTTTTCGCCTGAAACAGATTCACAAGATAAGCTTTATAAGATAAGGCCAGTCGTTGAATATCTGAAAGATCGCTTTCAAAGCATTTACAGACCTGCCGAAAATATTTCTATTGACGAGTCTCTGATGAAATGGCAAGGGAGGCTAAGTTTCAAACAATTCAATAGAAACAAACGAGCTCGTTTCGGAATAAAATTGTATGAAACGTGTGATTCAAAAAATGGATACGTATATAATTTTAAGATCTATGTAGGCAAAGATGAAAATGATTCAAACAAGAAATCACTACTTGGCATATCCGGAAATGTAGTGATGGACCTGCTTTCCGATTTAGGTGAACAAGGGCGTTCTTTATACATCGATAATTGGTATAGTTCACCCTGGCTATTCCTGACATTGCATAATGCGAAAACCAATGTTTGTGGAACTGTGCGACCAAACCGAGCAAAACTCCCAAAAGTAAATAAAAAGGAAATTAAAAATGGCGAGATGAAGGTGTTTAGCTCTCCGCGAATGACATATATGCTATGGAAAGATAAAAGATTGGTGACTATGCTTTCTACCAAACATGCGCCTGAAATGGTTGTAACTAATAAAGTGGACTATCATACTAAGCAAAAAAAGCAGAAACCAAATATTGTATTGGAATATAATGATAATATGGGCGGCGTTGATTTATCTGATCAATGCATTACGCCATATGAAATTCTAAGGAAATCGCAAAAATGGTACATCAAAACTTTCTTTCATTTACTTGACTTAGCCATATTCAATGCTTGGGTTGTTTATAATACTGTTCACGCTGATAAGAAACTGAAGTTTTTACATTTTCGCAACCAACTAGCCAGAGAACTCCTTGAACACCACGGTAACAAAGATTTTAAAGCAAGAAAAAATAATTTTTGTAAAACAAATCCAATGAGATATGCAAATCCGCATTTTCCATCTGCTATTGGAGAAAAAAAAACTGTCAGAAAGCGATGTGTTTTGTGCTACAAAAATGGAAAGTCTCAATTCGTTAGTTTCATGTGTGGGGATTGCAATAACATTCCATTGTGTATAACACCTTGTTTTAAAAATTATCACACTGATGCAGTAAAATGCTAAAACTCACAAGTGTGTAATAATATTTCACGTACAAAAAAGAGAGAAAACATAAACTTACATTTTTATAAATCAAAAAAATCAAAAAAACTTAAAAAAATTAAAAAAAAA